TGTGTGTGTGTAGTGTGTGTGTGTGTGTGTGTGTGTGTGTGTGTGTGTGTGTGTGTGTGTGTGTGTGCGTGTGTGTGTGCATGCGTGTGCCTGATTTCTGAATATACATACATACACACATGGGCGAATATAAATATTCATATATAGCAGTACGCGGCACAAGCACAAGTAGAAAAATCTTCGAAACGCATAACATTTAGCGCGATCATAATGCGTCATTATTACTGTTCACAGTAAACTGTTATTGCCCTGTGGCAGTTAGAGCGTTATAGCATCATGTACGATCAGCCCAGCAACGCGCTGTTTGCCAACCGACATGTTTAAACTCGAATATAAAACGGTCGACGGCAAATTAAACTCAAAATTACGGCAAACTCTGATTTCCTCAATTCATAAATTCAAGGTTGAGTGGGGGGAAATAAAGCGGTCGAAAGTTTTCTTCAATTCATAAATTCAAGGTTGAGTAGGGAGAAATAAAGCGGTCGAGGTTAATATTAATTTCCTCAATTAATAAATTCAGGTTTGAGTGGAAGAAACCACAGCAAGCATTATTCGCTCATGGTGCGTAGTCATGATCAGAGGTATCATAAAACATATATAATGTTAGTGAAGTATGAAATAATGAAGTAATGAATGTCATTATACTATCATACGAATAAAATGCCATAACCTTTGCAGGACACTTTACTTCAAACGATATTTTAGACGAATATTGTCCTGGCTGCTTATATGATATTTCTGACAACGTGCTCCTGGCTATTTTTCACCAGATAGCAGCACCGATTAACGCGAACTGTGTGGGAGGTTGCGTAGGCGTGTACTATGAACTATTTATTTTTCATTTTCTACTGCATAGGTATACATCTACTGTATAAGTTTTCGTTTCCATAGCCTTGACATGAGACAATCGCCTGATGTGCACTAATTCTAAGCTCTACGCTTTCTCTGCTCTAAGCTCTAAAATCAGCATTGCAAAACGCGCAGCATTTTCCCCCAACAAGCCACATATTAGGGTAAGTGGCCGTAACATTGACCTGGCCTAGATGTTCGCTAACGCCTTTAGCCTGCCTGGCTGCAGGCAGGTGATGTGGTATCAAATTTGCAGTCTGTACGGGGAATATAACCAACTAGAATTATTATAATGTATAACTATATAGGTACGAGTGATGCCTGACGCTGTGGCATCATCGTACACACTCCGGCGTTCACACGGGGAACGCGGGCGTGCGTGGGCGCATAGCTGCCAGCTAAGGGATGAGACTAAGCTGTCATTTACCACGCACCTAGAATAATTGATCCGAACATCCTACCGGAAATACGAAGATGGCAATCGCGGCGTGCGTGCATGCGCGTGCGTGCGTGCGTGCGTGCGTGCGTGAGTGTGTGTGTGTGTGTGTGTGTGTGTGTGTGTGCGTGCGTGTGTGTGTGTGTGTGTGTGTGTGTGTGTGTCGTGTGTGTGTGTGTGTGTGTGTGTGTGTGTGCTTGTTTTTCGCGCGCGTGTGCGCGTATGGATGATGCTGACCTGTGTGGTATTAGAGACGCATCTATAACACGCACGATATGCTCTTTATTCTACAGGCTATATAACCCTTACAGGTGAGACTCTTGTTCCAGTTTAGATAGACACGCATGTCCACTTGTAGTAAAGCCGGGAATACGGGGAATCCGTGTTACCCCCCCCCCATTGTTTAAGCTGACGCGTACCGGTGTATTCCTCGCTCCCTCTTCCTCTCTCTCTCTCTCTCTCTCTCTCTCTTTCTCGCGGCATCGCGCGCTTTCTTTCTCCCTCCCTCTCTCATCTCTCTCTCTCCCTCTCTCTCTCTTCTCCTCTGTCACTGTCTCTTCATTTTCTCTTCCTCGCTCTCTCTATCCTCTTCTCACTTCCTCCTCTTTCTCTCTTTTTTCCTTGTTTCTCTCCTCTCTATCTCTCTCTATCTTTTTCTCTTCTTTCTCGCGAGCTTCGCTCTCTCTCTGTCTCCCTTTCTCTCTCTCTCTTCTCTCTCTCCTCTCTCCCTTTTTTCTCCTCTTCTTTCTCTTTCTCTCTCTCTCTCTCGTTCACTTTTCTTCTCTCTCTCTCTCTCTCTAACTCCGGCTCCTCTCTCCTCTCTCTCTCTCTTCTTCTCTCTCTCTCTTCCTTTCACACACACACTCTCTACATAGTGTCACAAAGGTGTGAGTCCTCGTTTTCTCTAAGCCGTCAGTCGGCGAATCGAGCAGGTGCGAGTGGAAGATTAGCACGTATGTACTTTTCACAAGGAGAAAAACGCCCGCTCAACAACCCCCACCACCACCACCACCACACACCACCACCACAACCTCGTCAACGCGCGACGGCATGACTGTTTGCGAGAGAGATCCGAGAGCCTCCCCAACGTATATAAACGCAAACTTTCCTTCTCGGTAACACAGCCTTCGCTGTGTTACTATAAGATGTTTGCAGTAAGTATTGAGCTTTTCCTGTTGTGTTAACCGAGGTCAACGTATATGCGCGGGGAATATCACGCGTTCATGGCTGCCTGTCGTTTGCAATGATGTTTAAATGCCTCGAGTAATCCATGCGTGTTGACAATTCTAATTGAATGACGGTGTCTGTGTCCTATATAATATCGTCTAACCATGGGGTGATTCTAATTTAGTTAATAACAGCATAGATATAATATCAACAGGCCAGACAATTAGACACTAAACACGCGATGCACGCGGCGTGCGCGCACACACGTCACGCGACGTCACTGCACAACATCGCACACACACAGTACACACGCACACCGCACACCGCCCACGCACTACTGCATCACTGCACACACGCCCACACACAGACACGCCCAGCGCACACGCTACACGCCACGCATCACGCACCTGACACGCACACGCACACCGGCCAACACACACTCGCCACGCCAGTGCACGCACGACGCACGCACGCACACCTAACACCACTACACACAAATCTCCCTCCAATGGTGGCCAAGGAGAAAATAAGACTTTCAAATTAGTACTTCTCAGATGAGATATTATAACTATTATATAAATAATATAATATGTATATATATTAAACTAATAATTTAGATAATATATAAATATAATCAAGAGACATATAGAGAGACTACTCTAATAATACAATTATCATCTATTATCGAGCTCCTTATAATAATTGAACGCCCTTATAGCTGAATGCAGCGTCTAATAAGATCGGAGACATGATGCGGACCTCATCTCACACTTCACACGATGACAGCCAACCACGCGATGGGAGGTAAAATACAAAAATCTCACACTTGAGTATACGGTACAGCTGTCACATCTATACAGGTCCACGGAAAATCATAAACAATGGGAGTTATCGCCAGCGGCCCGCACGCCCCGCACGCGATATCACAATACGCATAGCAATGAATGATCGCTTGAACGACGCATCCCCCCGAGTACAACACGCTCTCCTCACGCACTTACCAGCCTGACATAGAGACGCTTAATAACAATCATATTAACGTTACATCAAGAGTAGATTAAATAAACAGGTGGAGTGTGAGGTCTACTCTTCGGTTAATAATAACTATTACTAATATAATCGCATCATATTTAATCTATCGCGATCGATCGAACTAAAGTATTATATCATATTAGCTTAGCTAATTCAATCATATGATAATTCTTATACTATTCTAGGGCTAAAATCAGATCTATGTATCTATCTATTTCTAGCTATCCTATCTATTATCTATTATCTTAGGTCTTCTATGATTCCGATCGATCTGATGTATGTATTACTCTATCTACTATGATATAGCATACATAATATATATTTATATATTATAATTATATAAATAAATATTTATACATATATATATTTATATATATTTATATGTATATATTTCTTTATTTGCATACTATTATATACTATTCTTTATTTATTATATTATTGTATACACACACATGGTATGCTATTTCTATGCAGTTTCGCGAAATCGAGCTTCAGGTAGTAACTTGAAAGAAACAATGAACGTTCATTCAAAACGCGATTTCGTACGCGTATACTATACCTGTATTTATAAATGACAAAATATCGTAACTACGTTGTATTTTGACAGTCTTTGACTTTCTGGCAGATTTGCTTTCTTTTTCTGACAGACTTTCTTTCACAC